AAGCAGAATACGAGCCCTGTGAAATACTAGATCCCTGAACATACAATGCAGACAGATTCTGAGATAAGACATTAGTATCCCCTTCTATTTCTTTTTCCGCCCCCAACAATTGAGCTCGAAATTCTTTTAGAGTCATAGATGATTCTCTAGCCAAAATGACAGTGCGAATGATAGCATATTCCTTTGGTAAGCCTGCAAGCCCTGCAATAATCACATCATTTTCAGACACAGATTCTCCAGCTGCAATCAATTGATCTTTGATACTCTTCAACCTCAACAAGTATTTATCAACCGAATCACTCCCTTTTTGTATGGTATGCAGCTCAGTCTTTAGATGATTAACTCGGGATTTAGACACCAATGCATATCTATCAACAAGATTAGACCAGGCTTCAAACGCAGTTCTGCAACCAAGAACATACTCAATAGCTTCATCAGAAAGTGTAGCAATCAACAAACTCAGTAAGGCCATATCCATAGACTCCCATTCAATATATGCATCAGTAAGCCTATAAGTTACTCCTTTTTCCGTATCAATGACAAATTTGGGTGGACAAACAGTATCCCCATCAAAATGACCAAACATCTTATACCCTCTCAAGACTGATTGAAATTGGAACGCCCATTTAGCAAAATTATCATCCCTCAATTTTATAGTCAACATTCCCAAAAGATTCTCAACTTTGATATTCATATTCGCCATGATCAACAAAAATTAAGAACGACTGAAACGTTCAGATAGCAATGCAATTCAAGTTCACGAAAGACTGACACTTTCGTATTCAAGAAAGACTAAAACTTTCTGTAAATCAAATTGACGAAAGACTGACACTTTCGAAAAACAAGAAAGAATGAAACTTTCTTCCAATCAAACTTTAACCAAGACACGAAAGACTGACACTTTCGAATCCACCAAGAAAGATTGACACTTTCTTATAGCCAAGAGAGATTGACACTCTCAATCTAATACTTTGAAGTAGAAATCATCCAATTATCACACAATAACAAAATCCCCAAATGAACATAGCACAGAAACGAACACCTTGAATCTGTAAATCAATCAGCAACACAGAAAGCGAAACATCGGAACAAAATCACCTGAAAGATTTCTGCACTTAGAACACCAAACTTCTGCCCAGTTTCAACTTCCATTCTTCTCTGAATTTCTGATGAAGTGCTAACGAACCCACGATCACAACTGCAGTACAGCGGAAGAAACCTAGAATCGGAATCGGCAACGAACCTCTCCCGGCGATGATACCATATTAACAATAGTGTATATATCGTAAAGAAGAATAAAGGAAGCACTCAGAGAAAAGAAGGAAGTTTAGAGAGAGAAGTAAAAGGGTTTCTTGTATATTAACAATAGTGTATATATCGTAAAGAAGAATAAAGGAAGCACTCAGAGAAAATAAGGAAGTTTAGAGAGAGAAGTAAAAGGGTTTCTTGTATATTCAATCATATGTCACCAATGGTCTGTATACCATGGTTATATACCTATCATCCATATTACAACAATGACTATAATACCCTCTGATAGTTGTACTTCTAACTAATTCTGTTTCCAACTAACTCCCAATTGTAACTAACTCAACTTCTTACAATGTAACAACTCTCACTCTCTTGTTATATCTAATACTTGTGAGCAATTGTCTCATTCTTCCTAATCTCCTCGTCGACGTGGACATCATCCTCGACCGATAACACCACGGCTTGCGGACCGTTGGGACCTTCTACAATTGCTTCCTTCATCTTCCGGTGTTTGTCAATGTGAATGAAGTTGGTTTCTTGGATTTGACATCTCTCGTGCTCGTGTTTGTCTAGTGAAAAGAGTAGATGGTCCTAACAGAATAGACCTAAGGAAAAGACCAAGCTTCTAGCTACCAACCTATTTATATCAAGAAAGTCAGCAGACAAACCTTAACAACGATTTCATTCAAAACTATTTTCTTATCTGGATAATATAAACTCCGTCTCTCTTCCATTATTGAAAATGTCTCAGGAGTGAGCTTTGTTCACATCGCAATATAAAAATTAATTAAACTATATCTGTTCATCACTAAGGCTAACAACCAATCTACCAGCAAACATACAACAGGGGCACTGCATAAAGACGACGCTACAAGTAGCAGAGATCGTCGTCACCCCACAAAACCTTAGCTTCCTTTATTTCAGTGGAGGGCAGGCAGTGCGTTCTTGTTGAGAACGTGAACAAGCGAAGATGGGGTTTTGTCCAGCCAAATTAATAACATTAAACAACGCATTTGACATATGTAAATAATCTTTACCGATCCATCTTATAAAAGAACAGTTACATATAGATACATATATCAGTTTTTATTGATGAATTTTTATTAGTTACATTAGTTAAATCACGACTTCATCAAATGTTCATACAAGATTATTACTGCTGACCAATATTTGAACTCGTTGAAGGCTAATCGATTTTCACTGCCTCTGCATTGCCATGCAAACCTTTACCAACCTTCTCGTTCTTCCTTAATATTTCATCGATATGAACATCGTCTTCGACTGTTAGCACCACAGCTTTCGATCCATGCGGACCTTCTATGTCTTCCTTCACGTTCCGATGTTCGCCGACGTTAACGATTTCGGTATCCGACTGGACATCTGAACTCTTTACTTTTCCATGCAACCCCTTGTGAGCAATTGTCTCATTCTTCCTAATCTCCTCGTCGACGTGGACATCATCCTCGACCGATAACACCACGGCTTGCGGACCGTTGGGACCTTCTACAATTGCTTCCTTCATCTTCCGGTGTTTGTCAATGTGAATGAAGTTGGTTTCTTGGATTGTCTTCTTCTTTCTCCTCTTGATGCAACAAAGCAGGGAAACTGCAAGGAATGCAAGGAAGAAAACAGAACCGAATGAGATGAACACTATGACTATGACAGTGGGATTATTGTCCGGTGATGGGGACGGTGGTGGCAGCTGCGGTGGCGGAGGGCGTACATGAGGCGGGGGCGGTGGCATAAATGGTTGATATGGTGGTGGTGGCGGTGGGGTTGAGGGGCTTGGAGGCTTTGCCCCCGGGGGTGGTGGTGGTGGGATTGATGGACGTGGCGGCTTTGCTGACGGAGGTGGCGGTGGGATTGACGGAGGTGGTGGCTTCGCAGCCGGAGGTGGTGGTGGTGGGATTGATGGACGTGGCGGCTTTGCTGATGGAGGTGGCGGTGGGATTGACGGAGGTGGTGGCTTCGCAGCCGGAGGTGGTGGTGGTGGGATTGATGGACGTGGCGGCTTTGCTGATGGAGGTGGCGGTGGGATTGACGGACGTGGTGGCTTTGCAGCCAGAGGAGGTGGTGGGGTTGATTGACTTGGTGGTTTTGCTGATGTAGTTGGCGGTGGGGTTGAGTGACTTGGCGGCTTTGCTGCTGAAGTTGGTGGTGGAGTTGTATTTGGAGTGGCCATCTTATATTGTAAATTAAGTCTGTAATGTGGAGTTGGTGGTGACGAGAATTGAATTGTTGTGGAGAAGGTGGTGAATCTGAATGCCTATATGTGGCAAGTTTATACTAAATTAAAAGTATTTTTTAATGAAGTAACTTAACTCTCATTCTAAGATTTGGAGCTAGGAAGGAAAGGGGTTTGTTTGCATTGGAAAACACTTCCCATTCTAAGATTTGAGATTTTGTGTCTGACGAGTGTATATATAATTATATATTACATCTGTTTTTTTTTTTCTTCTCATTTTTCAATCGCATCAAAATTTAGGGAAATTCTACATGTGTCAAAGTTTATTTGTTAACATTGCATAATAATGGTGAAGATATAGAATGATGTTGTTTGTTGATTGTTATAACATGAACGTCACGTTATGGTATAGATGTAAATGATTATTATTGGACGACTAGATGTTTACTTATTATCGTTTTTCAGTTTTAGGTTTCCTACCTTCACTTCACTTTTAATGGTATTATAACATGATGTTAACATTGAACGTATAGAATTACAAGAAATGTAAGGTTATACTATAATCATCAAAAATTTAGAATATAAAATTATAAATAATAGTAAGGTTATAGTATTTAATAATACATATTGACATCGTTACTATTGCAATAACAATGTCAAATTTTACATATATGTGGATGTTATAATTATTATATTGTTAAGTATAATGTTATACATGAACATTATGTCTTATTATACTGTCAAGATAGAATATTATTAGGCGCATACATGATTACATTACAAAAACGTCGTTTGATTAAAGAGTACCAGTACATTGTTTACCATAGATTAACCCTAATATTGATCATTTTTGCTTCTCTCATTCAAATGTTTAGCACATAAAGGGGCATGGGGTTTCGGAACATTGAAAGTTCCAACATTTCAATCAATAATTCCATTTGGTGAATAAAGAGATATTTCACCATGTTCAAAATATTAAAATTAAGCAAAAATACAAATAAAACAAAAGCCGTTTTGCCAAGTGGCGTGAAGTAGTCGTTGCTTGGTGAAACCAGCCTTACACGGTTTCCTCCGGTCTTAAAACTGTGTGCTCTAGAGCTTTTGCTCTGGTTTGGTACGATTTTAGAGTGAAACTAAAACCAAAATTAAAACAAAAAATATTGAGTTTTTTACAGTTCGATTCAATGCAATTTTAAAGCTTGCTCCGAAATAGAACCAAACTATTTGGTTGCCTTTCGGTTCGATTTTAAACTACTTCAAGCATACAGATAGATTTATAGCTGCTCTCCGTATAGTTCTTGGTCTTCAATATTTTTTTTTTCAAGATAAAAGATGGGAAGGAAAGGTCACAAGGACATCCATTCCCATGATTGAATGGACCTGGTGATGAATATTTGTAACTAGAGACGACACGTGACAAATATCTATTGAATGGTTGATACACTTTTGAAACATGTAGCAATCATTCATTAGACCAAAGAAGCCACTGAAACTATGCATTGTTTGCAAACGAAAGTATCTCCTCATTTGAACATCAAGTTATAATACAGCTAATTCGTAAAACTACTTCAATGTGTCACATGGTATTATCATCATATAAAAAATTTTTCATTCCAGTGCTCACTCTTGAATGCATATAATCTAGGAGGCTTGGATAACACCATAAAATTGAGTCAACTATTTCCCGTATATTTATAGGGAGTACTATTTGGCCCTTCTGCACAAGTATAAAAGTATACAACAATCAAATGACATGTGCAAGTTGTGTTCAAAGATGTAAGCAAAACAAGTGATTAAGCAAGGCATTCTTCCTTGGAGTTGCTACAACCGCAAATCCACACTTCTGGCACACGTAGAATTTCCCCAAGTTAAAACACGCCTCCAATGCGATGACTCAAAAGTCCTGAAGAAAACACTTGTCCTATTTGTGTTGACCAAGGTCTCAACCCAAGATGCCCAAGTGTTTAAAGCTGTCCTGAAGCCAGCGGTAATTGGCATTCCGAGCTTCAGTGATTTACCCACTTGAAAATGCAGCCCCCGTCTGAAAAACTGTTAAAACTTGCATACTTTTGGGTCTCTGGTTGAAAATAAAAAATAAACAAAAATATAGAAGTGATCTCAATATGCTTTTCTGGAAGTCACTTTCTCAACTTCATCTCAAGTTTAATCACTGAAAACTCCACGAAAGCTGATTGTGAAGTCGATGATATGTTGAAAAAAAAAGTTGCAGGTGCAAGTACATATCCACTCACACAAACAATCACAAGAACGTGAGAAGGCGAAGTGGAATGAGAGAAAGAGAATCCATCCGCAAAACACTACTGCAGGCTGCACAATTCTTTTGTGAATTGTATATTTTCTTTTGGTCTAAACTGTGTACTAAGGCAATAATATTTTGGTGGTAGCAACTCGTAAGTAGTTTAACTAAGAAGATCTAAAGTCAGATGTTAATATAACCGGCAATTCCACTTTCTACCTGTCATTATTTATGATCTGATATGTGTATGATTACAATTCCAGGCCCCTTTCCCCAACTGGTGAAAGTTTTTTAAGCTAAAACATAAGCATAAATAGCCAAACTACATGCGTTACAATATCGGAAGTTGAAATTTACTAGTCCCGTACAAGCATGTTTCCTCCGCAATACAATAATCACAGCTGCCATGGCGTTTGCATCAACAAACATCAACCAAGACCTCGGCCACATCAGTACTAAGGGATTTTCTCTCTCTATTGGGAAATTAGACCTTCTGAAGAGGTGTTAACATGCAGAAGCCTTTAAACCATTTATTCACAATAAGCAGCATGATTCTTATCCTCCACCCCAGTCATGGTAAACATATCAAAGACTCCCACTGTGTTCTACTTAACGAGTCTCCAACAAAAACAACTCGCTTTCCACGAAGTTTTTCAACAACCGTACGCACATCAAATCTAGGAATATCACAATTCTTTGGCTTCCACCTCCACTTGCATAACCCCCATCTTTACGCCCATTTGCAAAGCAATTAAATCCAATTTCTGCAAATGGACATTGTGAAGCATTGTACAAAGGGTAACTTTCATCTCGAATCCAACTTCCTTAGAAAACATCACATTTATCAACGGAACTACTACTGGAATTCGAAACCGGGTAACTATCAAACAAATACAAAAAGGCACATGACATTCCAACAAAAAAGAACACCAATGAGCCAATTGCAATGACCCTTCGTCATTGCAAGTATAAAAAACCAAGATTTTACAATGACCCTTCGTCATCTCATTGCCGAAATTCAAACCCTTATGTAGAAAGGCCTGAATTGAACAAACCAATTCCAATTAACATTCCTCACCAGCTTCATCATTTGGTATGCAAACCCACATGAAAAAGTTCCCCAATTGCAATCACATGATATGAGACAGCAAACCAGAAGAAAACCAAATTCATGAAATTAAAAAACCATCAACAAAGTATGAAACTTGAGCCAAGAAATAGCAAAAATTTGAGCACTTGGAGAAAACCCACAAGAAAATGAGCAAAGTAAACAGCAATCTTACAGATTCACCAATTGGGGTTTTGCAGAAAAACACTTTCTGGTGTTGGCAGCTCCTGCTAGAAGCAGCTTCGCAGTGAAAGTGAACAAAAACGTATATAAAAAAGGAGGGGCTAACCTGTCAGACAACCGTGCGACCACCCCAGACAGTGAAACTGGCTGAGAACGATCATCTGCCGCTTGATGGAAGCGAGGAACCACAAGCTATTAATCACGCTCTGATCGCACGGTCATGATTCATCCACCAGGTTGAGGTTCCTGTCTCCTTAGAAATCAAGGATACAGAGGTACGATCCTATAGAACAGATCCTGTTCAAGTAAGGTCGTGATCAAACCTCCGTTGTCTAGGTATACGAACTGCTTCATCATTCTGGAAACTGTCGATGTGGGACGAAAGCGCAGTGTTTGGCCTACCAGCAAAAGAAATCGCTTTCTCCCTCTTTTTTGTTCATTGGCTTTTCAGTACTTTGGGGCCCCGAAACTGCCACGTGTAAATTCAATTTATACAGCAGAGCCGTGTCTTTAAAATATAAATAAATTAAAATAGGAAAAATTAGTATCCGGTTCCTAGTTCTTACTGTTCATTGACTAAGACCTTATTAGTTCTTAAATTTTGATTCAAGTCCCTAGCATTAATGTGATAATGAATTTACATGTTTATTATATAATTTTTTAATATAAAAATTAGTAATTAATTTAGGGTTTAATACTCACACCTCTATTAAACTTCTAATTAATTTTCAATTCAAACATTTCCAAAATAATAAAAAATTAAATTAAATTAAGTTTGTTCCTATTAGTTTTTTTTTATCTTAAATGTACCCATTCGTATAATTTTTAAATTTTTTAAATCTTAAATGTACCTGACACACCCCGACCGAGATCAAGGATGTTGATCGTCACGTGAGAGTGACGTAGCCATGTGTACAGTGCGGAAGCAATAATGATAAGAAATATACGAATAATTAAAAACCAAATTACTAGGCACTATTAAACAAGAAGTGATAAGAGTTAGTTACAAAAGTAAACACTCCTAATCAGAGCATAATAAGTCTAGGTGTAGTCCAGTATGATAAGTACTAGTTACACAGTACCAGGAACGTCCTACTATTATTTAGATAGGTCAGAACTGCCGACGTCCTCAAGCCACCCACAGCAAGCTTACTTAAAACGTGAGTGGGCAAAAACAAATGTTTTACAAAACCATTTCGTTTATCAACATATCTAACCCCTCGCTGTAAAACAGGTATAATTTTTCCCAGAATAAAGATATAAGCATATACATAAATATATAAGTAAATATATCACTTCAATTCATGCTTCACATAATCATAAACATATGTATGTCATGCCAAGATATAACAAAGTAAGCAATTTAGGTAAGAATAAATTCATAGAAATATAACATGTTAGCCGGAACCCCTGTGGTAGTCTGTACGGCTGAATTCATAGCTCAAAAGTTAATCTAGTCGGAGTCACTACAATGACCTATACGGCAATATACTGCACAAGAGTCGAAACCAAATGAAAAGGTCTGTACGAAAATAATGGGTGTAATATAATCATGCTCAATACTACTCTCACATAATAGCTGGGCAATAAATCGCTAGTCACCTACGAGTCGGAACCATAGATAAGGTCTATACGACAAGACTGTGCACCTAAATGAGATCCAATATGAGCATATGGTGCGGGAGGTGACATTATAAACAAGCATGTGCCATATCTCTGGCTAAATCACAATCATCCTAGGTGCAGTTTTATGAGCTCAACATTATTCAATCACATATCACATCATCGATAATTCACATAACCAAACATAACTCACCTGAGCTTACCTGAGCGTCCACTGCACCACAATTATATATAATGCATCACATACCAATTCATATACTAAATATAAACTCATACGCATGGCATTCAAGGCATAATCACATTTAAACATATTTTCTAGGAAATTATCAAGTATATAAATATATACTGAAAACCAAAAGCCCACTCACAGGTATGTCGAAGGGTCTTAGCCCCCGAGTCGCCCTTGGATACGCTCGTACTCGGGATAAGTCTCACCTATATGCGAATTAACTATAAAAACGTTATTTTAGAGCATATAGACAAAACTAGCTAATAACTTCTCATACAATGCTCAAAATGGGTATATGAATATACCACAGTGACCTACACAACCTCAGGATCATCCCCAAATTTTTAGAATAATTTTTGGAAGCTCCACGCGCCCCCACGCGCTGGCAATGGCACGGCCAGACGTGCCCCCCACGCACGGCCATATGCCAGGCACACTAACGGCGTCAATTAACGCCGTCAGGAATATTCCGAGAATATTCCGTCAATTCCTTAACCCTCCTTAACTCCGTCACCTAACTCCATCAGCATATTCCGTCAGTTTTGACGGGATATGCCACTGTCTTCTCCGACGAGTCGCCGGTTTTCTGGAAAACTTCCAAACCTTATAACTTTCTCATTTATTCACCATTTTTCATAAAATTGGTACCAAAATGAAGCTAATAACATGTATAATCACGTTATACTATTTTTAAGCCTTGAAATCCACTAGAATTTACCTGAGGAAGCTCGATAATCCGATCAACTTAGAAAAACTTCGATCTCGGCCTTCCGACATCCAAACTCTTCCAACGAACTACCCCGAGCTTCCTTAGGACCTCCTAAAGCTCCCTGTGAGCTTGAAATCCTTTGAAACATAAGGTTTTATGTCCACATGAATAGTGCATGAAAAATGAGTTTTGGGTTCTCGAGATTTCGAAGGAATCCTTACGTGAAATGGGTACCAACCAACTCGAAATGGCAAGTGGAATACAATGGTGCCTTTAGAATCTTCGATCTGTGACTGGGAAGCTCACCTCGAGCTTGGTCCGTATGAGGAAGAAGAAAGAGAGAGTAAGTCCAAGAGAGATGAGAAGGTACGGGAGAGAAGAGAGAGAAGGTAGGTGGGTGGGTGTGTGGTCTAGGATTGGTCAACAACCAAAATACACAATAACTTAATCCTAATTGGTTCCAAACAATTAGGATTTGAGAATAGTGACCCAAAAACAACACTTAAACTACATCACACAATTTAACGTCCATGGGCATTTTCGTCAATTCACGTCAACAAGAATTATTTTCCGGGACGGGCTGTGACATACCCATTCTCAAATATATCAATTTGTTATATGTAAAATGTACCCTTTTTTTAATATAAAATCCATTCAAATTTTTTAATCCATGTTTAAACTTATATGGGTACATTCTTTTTCGTTGATTTGAAAATGTATCCATGTTTTGGTACAATAACTTTTTTTGTTAATTTTGGTTAATGTACCCATACATATATGTATATACACACACACACAAAATATAATAGAGAGTATAATTTATATTTTATTATTTTTTAATCGCATAAATTATGGGTTTTATTTAAAATCTCATTAATATAAACATTTTCAATTTTCAATTTTTAATTTTTAATTTAAAAAAAATATAGTAACTTACATTATTACATTAATGTCAGGGACCTCAATAAAAAACAACAAACTAACAAGGTTTCAATCAAAGAATATTGATAGCTAGGGAGCACATCTAAAGTGTCCCATTAAAATAAGTAGGGTTTAGATGACCATACGTTGATTCGTTGTGAAAAAAAAAAGAAAAAAAAATTAATTTAACAATATAAGATATAAAATTAAATAAAAAATAAGTAAATACGATTTAAACGACAAAATATTTATATTTGTCACGCAGAGTTTTTGAAAAATAATAAAAACTTATGAAAATAATTATTTTTAAAATTTATAATATAAAATTAAAATTTAGTGATTCATACATTTTTTAATCATGTTGTTGCATTATTGAAATTTTTACAGCTTAAGTAATATATAGAAGAAAATCATGTGTTTTAGATTTGTATATTATAATGTCTTCATAAGCACTGGTATGAGTGAAGAGTGAAGATTTCGAAGATGGTTAATCAGATTTATCTACTATGATGAAAGATGTATCATCAGCAGTTTCTCGTGTTTAGAGATTCATACATTTTTTTTAATCATGTTGTTGCCCTACTGAAATTTTTATAGCTTCAGTGATATATAGAACAAAATCATGAGTTGTAGACTTGTATATCATACAATGTCTCCATAATATGGAGAGTGAAGATTTTGGAGAATGATGGTTAATCGGATTACAATATACCTACTTGTACTTCAATGGTTCTAATTTATCGTTTTTACACCTCGTTTGGTACGCCATATATAGCATCGGATATAATTATTAATACGGAACGGGTGTTTGGCTCGCTCTCGTATTAAAATGGACTGAACTAATTTATCCAAACCTTTTATTTCATACGGTACACGCCCCCTTAATAAACCTGTCCAAAAGGAGGGTACAATATAGTCGGGTCCCTTCTCTCTCTCGTGAACTGGGTTCTCTCGTTTCCCTCGCTGTCTCCTTCTTTCGCCGGTTAGGCCTTCTCCAACCGATGGTTGACCAGAGGGCTCGTTTTAGCCATCTGGCCCTCCAAGATCCTCCAAGATATTAATATTTTAATGAACAATACAGGGCCATATTTGCCTCCGTCTCCAATCGAGGGCCAGAGGGCTCGTTTTAGCCCTGTCACAAAAAACCGTCTCCAACCGATGGCCAAAGAGCCATAAGGCCAAACATAATTTATTATTTAAAAAGTACAACTTAAATTCAAATCCAACGGCTAAGAATCTAAAATAAAATGAAACAAATTTTGTGAAATAGAAGTTATAGGAAAAAATGGAATTTAAAAAAAATATGAAACAAATTTTGTAAAATAAAAGTTATAGGAAAAAATAGAAGTTATATGAAAAATTTTGTAAATAAAAAATAATAATAAAACTGTAAAAAAAAAATTAAAAAAATTCAAATGCAACGGCTAGTTAGCTAGCCATTGCATTTGAATTTTTTTTTCTTAAGAATTCTTGTTGGTTATAACCGACAGGAAATCCGACACATTTATAAAATTATGGCCAGCCCTCTAGCCCTTTGGCCCTTTCCGATTCCGTGGGGCCCTCTCAGACTCCACAGCCCTCTGGCCTAGTCCTCGGTTAGAGACGGTTTTCGGGCTATTTTCGGTCCTCTGGCCCTCTAGACTTAGGCCATCTCCAACCGATGGCTGGTCAGATGGCTCGTTTTAGCCCTCTGGCCCTCCAAGATCCTCCAAGATATTAATATTTTAATGAACAGTACAGGGCCATATTTGCCTCTATCTCCAACCGAGGGCCAGAGGGCTCGTTTTAGTCCTGTCACAAAAAACGGTCTCCAACCGAGGGCCAAAGGGTCATAGGACCAAACATAATTTATTATTTAAGAAGCATGGAGTAGGCATTTAAGTTTTATGTTTG